TTGTTCAGCGTTTGGAACGCATCGGATTTCGGGTTCAAGTGGAGGCGAGCTCCAGCCACATCTCCCGAAGAGCGACAGGCTTGCGGCCGCATGAAGGAACTTTCTTAAGAATGGGAAGCACAGCTTGAAAAATAATAACAGTGCCTTCCGAACACTCGTGCGCATGTGTGCGTGCAGACATGATGTTATGATAGGAATGAATGCTCATTCACATGAGTAGGTTTAGATAGGTACCCAGTGAGATGGATAGGCAGATAGCTCAGTAGAGACATATATAGACACATAGACAGAGCCAGACAGACAGACAGATAGCTAGAGAGAGCAGAATAGATAGCTGGCGAGGTAGGTATATAGCGCGAGACAGCTGGATGATAGATGCATAGATAGATGGATGGATAGATGGATAGATGGATAGATGGATGGATAGATGGAGAGATGATGATAGGTGTTGTCACGTGTCGATGTACATAAGGTCGCCGTGATGACAACATGTCCTGGTTGCAGCATCCCTTTTCATCTGTTGCATGCAGGTAGAATGAGGCCACATAGCAGATCTGGTAGCTCGCATCAGCAGCTTAAGAGACACATGAGGGGAAAGCTTAAGGATAAGCAGAGACACATTGATTTCATGCGGCTGCTCTCTTTGACGAGTGAAGTAAGTGGTGATGCAGACTTTGCCGCAAAGGATTTAAGCCCGGTCAAAAAGAGCCTCTCGACGCAGTGCTGGCTTGTAGCCCTTCGCTGCCTTTTGCCGCATAGTTGGAGGTTCGGGCTGGTTTATGCTTCTGACCAAGTGATATGTTTGATATGCACTGTAATTAAGCACCCGAAGTTCTCCATGTCCCCAAGGCACTTCGTTCGCGTAGCATTCAACCGCGTTATGACTTATAGCATGGCTCGTCGCAGCGCCAGCCACCGCCACCTCCAGCGCCCCGGCGCCGGCCCCCGGCCGAAAAGGACGTGCCGGGACCGCGCCCGCTCCCCAACCACCGCAAGAAGACACACCGAGGGGGCAAAAAGTGGCGCCGGGCTTGGCTGGGCGTCGGCGCCCGCTTCACGCGAGCCTGGCTTGCGCTCGGCCGCTGCCTCCCTACCTGCGAGGCTTGCGGCGCGCTGCCGGGTTCGCGGTCAGTCTGCACCGACCCGTGTGCCACAGGCTTGCCTGCACTTTTTGGATTGTTCTACTTGCGTGCATTTTGCTGATCCGTGGAGCTCTGCGGCTTCACCCTCCGCTGCTCCTGCCAGGGCCCCAGCTTTTGCTTGCATTTGTGCCACTGTCTGCACCAGGGCTTTGCGCGCCGCCGCTGCCCACCGTGCGCCTGTCTTTTTCAAGCCTGCGGTCCTGGCCGGCTAAGGTTGTGGTGTTCGACACCCTGCTGGTTGCCTGCCAGGCTCTCCAAGTTTTCGCTGTTAAGCTTTGCGTGCCAACGCTGCTCCGCGGCCAGGTTGCCAGCACTCCCCCTGTAAGCTGCTACATCGTTTCGGGTCGTGGTCTCCGCTCTGTTTCGGCCAGCTCTGCAAAGCCCCCAGGGCTGTTGCTGCTGCGCCGTGTCCAGCTGTTGCGAGCCGGTTGTACATACTCGCCGCACCACACGGTTCCTCATCCACCGTGCCGGACAAAAGTGGCGTGCAGCACCCCAACCCACTAATTAGCCATGTCTTCACCGACGCCGCCCGACTGGGGAGACACCCTCCAAGACATCACTCCCATTCATGTGCCGTCCTCGCCCTCCCCAGTGAACGTGCCTGGTGACGTCACCCCGGGCTTTGATGCGCCTGCCCCTGCAGCATGCCCCGTGTGCCTTGAACCCCCTGCCGTCGAACCCGATGCGCACGAGACCACGTACCCGTGCTGCAGCGCCTTCACCCACCTCGGCTGTATGGTGCAGGCCGCCCGCTTGCATGGAAGGTGCCCCAACTGCCGTGCAGCGATACACCATCTGCCTCGCGAAACCTAGCATCGCTGCACGCTGTCAAGAGTTCGGGATCGCCCTGGAGCCTGCCCCCGGCAGGGCTCCGCCGCGCAGCACTGCATACGCCGAAGCGCGCGATTACGCCACGCGCACGTTCTGTCGCGCAGACGCCGCGGAGCCCTCGGAACTCGGAACCCGCTCACGTGCGCGCGGTCTGCTGCCGCCGTCTGGCTGGGCCTGCAATGGGGTTCGTCGAGTTGCCTGACAGTCGTATGCACTGGGCGCCCGTGGTGCACCGAGGGCCCAGCGGCATCGCAAGTTGGACAGCAGTGTGCATGCGTTGCTCCAACGTCCCCCCTGCCGCCGAGCTCGGCGAAGGGCCCATGCCCGCCTTGCATGCATGAGGTCCTTGCCGCGCTGGGGGTGAAGGCGCGCAGTCCCTCCTTCCCCAAGTTCCTTTCGCCCGTAGTGCGCAGGTACCACAGGGACCCGGACGTTTCGTTTTGCAGTCGTCAAAAAGGTGCGTGGGAAAAAAGTGTCCCGGGGATTCCCGGGACCGCACCGTGCTGACAGCGGCGGCTCTGGCGGCACTGAGGACACTTTCGCAGCGTTGTCCGACCCGGCCAGACGCCCGCCTGCACTGCTCACCGAAATCCCCGCAGACGCGCGCGACCTCCAGCCAGACGCGCCGGCCACACTCACAGCCGCTGCCGTCGGTCAGGCTTTGCGCTACAAAGTTCTGCTCGACGACGCTGAAGCTCTCGAGCTGCGCGCGCATGCCGCGAACTTGCTCGCTTCGGCCCACATCCCTGCCAACATCGCTGCTGCACTCGCCGTCTCCCACCTCATGGCGTTGCGTAAGCCTGCCGGCGGGGTGCGGGGGATCGCTACCGGCCACACTTTCCGTAGGCTCGTGTCGCGATGCTTGGCACGCCAGTATGCTGCCACGTTCGACGAGGCCACCCGACCCCACCAATTCGCCCTCCAGACACGCGCCGGCACTGATGCTCTTTCTGGCATGCTGCGCGCTGCCATCGGTCTTGATGCCGATGCCACGATCGTGTCGTTGGATGGCCGCAGTGCTTACGACACCATCTCTCGCGCTGCATTCCTGAGCAAGTTGCGCGAGGTCGCCCCAGCTCTAGTGCCGTTCGTCCGCGTCGTCCCGCAACAGAGGCTCGCGCGGACGCCTGCCCCAGGTGTCGATCCCGATGATCGCCGGAGTTTCGACTTCGTCGCATATGGTGCCACACAGCTCGGCGAAGCACTGTGCTGCGACGTAACCCTGGTCTCGCCGCTTACCCGCGACGGCCGCCCGCAACCTTCCCCGACCACCAGGGATGGTGCTGCACTGGCCGTGGCCGTCGCCGAACGCCGCAAGCGCGCTGCCTACCCCGAACTCCCGCGGCGAGGACCGCAAAGGCTGCGCGTGCTCGCGTGCGAGACCGGCGGGCGCTGGAACGACGTGTCGCTCCGCCTTGTCGCGCAGCTCGTCCGTTTGCGTGCCCTGCGAGCCCCTGCTCCGTTTGCAGGACGTCCTGCACGACCCGTGCCCGCCTGTGCCCAGCTGCCTGCCGGCTCACTGAGCCGCTGCAGCCCCTTTGCTATGCCGTGGTTCGCAAGTGTACTGCGACCGCACGCGGATCGCCCGAAAAATTCGTTGAGGAAAGAAAAAATCCCACCCTTCCCGTTTTGCATCAGGTTTGCACCACACCCAGCACATAGACATGGCAGATCGCGCGCAAGACGTATCGATGCGCTACCCTCGGATTGTGTATCTCAGCCATGGCATCACGCAATTTACACATTTTGCGCTTGGCCACACAAGGCCACCTAACAGTTAGCTCGGGGATGCTTGCTTGGGCACCGCACGAGCGTCCGGAAGTACCAGACACCAGCATCTTCATCGTTAGCTAAACTTCGCTTGTCATTGACACGAGAATGATCACCATCATCGCCGCCAAAACTATCATCAACCTCGTCATCAGTGGCATCGTGACCATGATATAGCGAAGCCGAGCGATGTTCGGCGAGGAATGCGACCGCTTTGGTAAGATCGAGATTGGATGCACGCCATTTTTAGTCGAGCCCATTGTCGCTTCAACGACGGAGCATTTCCCTTTGCTTAGCCCATAAGAAAACTTACGATTGCATACGCGAACATGGCCTTTGTGTTTTTGCATTCACATACATTTCTGCGACTGCCCGAGGGGAGCCCAAGTCCCAGTGCAAACAAACTACATGGCATGGGAAATGGGGTGTTCAAGCGAGACGCGCCGCCAGGCGGCTGTTGGCGGGCGCCTGCAGCCAGCTTGCGTCGCCGAGGAGCTCGTGGAACGCGGTCGGATCACCAGTAGCACCGAGCTTTGCAGCCGCAGGTAGCTCAAGGAGAGAAGCAGCAACAGACCCTTTGGCACACAGCGGTGGACCCACGCGGCTTGCACGGCGGGCTCGCGCCAGCAGCCGGAGGAAGGTCCAGAAGGTAGCGGTTTCCTTACTCCAGCGGCTTCCAGTTTCAATGCCGAAGACGACAAGTGGCAGCGGCGGGGTTTGCACTGCGCTGCCCGGGGCCAAAATAACGTGTGGCTGTGTACCGGCTGCAGGATCCGGCAAGCCTTCACCCCAGAGAGGGAGGCGAGCTGAGATCCGTGCCACAACGGGAGGCTATTGCAGACCACGTCGCTGAACTGCATATCAATGTTAATGTCAGCACGAACATCGCCCCTGCCGAACTACTTTCAGCGTGCGGGAGCGAATGCTTCGCGCAATTGGCAACTCACGGTGAGAGGCGGCAAAGGCACGCTGCTTTGCGACGGCCCGAAGCCCGAAGAAACGAGACAATGGCGGTGATTGAGGCCAGCGAGCTCAGATTGTGTTTTGGTGACACCTGTGGCCCCAAGATGCCGACACCGAAGTTGTTTGCATTGGCTCCAGGAGACTCGCACGGTATTTTTAAGAGCAGAGTTTGTACATGAGAAAAAAACTAAATAAGCGCTGAGCTGCAGCAGCGAAGCTCGGGTTTAATTGCTCAGCACCATTTTTTCGGTGGATGGATTGCTTGGATCTGATAAGCACTGATGTGCCACCATGGCGGAGCAGCTTGCTGAGCGCTCGCACACGTCCAAATGCTCTAGTGCATTTGCTTTGACAGAAGAGCTTCGGGCTATCGCCCGAGACTTGTGCCTTGACGAAACAAGTTTCGGATTAGATTATTGGCATTGTATTGCTATTGCTATCAGCATTGACATATAGGGGGTCTAGGGTTTAGGCGGTTTCGGGTTTATAAGGTTTAGGCATTCAGGATTTCTACAGGTCTAACCTTTAACGTTTAGGGCTTTCGGGTAAAGCCATTTTGGCTCAAGCCATTTTGGCTCAAGTGCTTTTCGGCTTGAGCGACAGACGCGTAGTACCGCGGGCCGCCGCTGGCCAATGGCGCTCGCTGCCCTTGCCACGACCGTGCGATGGTTGCTGCAGGCAGCGCGGCAATCCGCGCCGGAGGCCCTTCAACTGCCGACTTCGTGCCGCCAAGCGGCTCTTCACGCAGCCTTGGCTTGCGTCGGGAACGCCCCGCAATATTACCCGCCCGGCTGGGGGCCTTGCTCCCACTGCTGGGGCTGGTTGTGTGTTGGAGTCCTCCTGGGCGGACTGTTGGTGGGAGCGTGTTGGGCGTATGGAGTGGCACAACGGTCTGCCTCTCCTGCATGGACGGCTGCTGCGGAAGAGATCCTGCGCTGCGTCGCTGCCGGGGGGGAGCAGGAGTTGGCGATGCTCGCCGAAGCGGCCGGGCAGTCGCCGGCAGAGCTTTTGTGCCGCGTCCTCCACACCGCTACTTCGACACACACGCCCGGCTTGCCGGCACCGCCTCCGCTGCGCGACGCACCGCCCAGTCGCAACCGTCGGCCACGGAAACCGTAGCAGGCACGACGAAGCGGCTCGCGCAACACACGGACGGAGCGAGGGGGGGGCAGGGCGGGCACAAAAACGGCCTCAGCTGTTTGGCGGAGCTCGCTCTTAGCATGTATTGGTTGCCTTCCTCAGCTTCTGTTCTGCGCCGCAGCCACTCTTTCTTGCCAGACCCGCAGCCTTTTTCTTGCGATGCCGCAGTGCCGCACGTGCCGGTGCCGACAAGTGGATCCAGAAGTCGGCCGTTGCATAGCCTGCGATGCGCTCATCGGCTTGCAGGGGCTTGTGCACAGCTCCCGTCTGCCAGCTTCGGCGGACCGCCCGCTGACTTCACTCCTCTTAGGGGTGTTGTCGGCTGTGCGCTTTATGGAGCAGTCAGGCCCAGACCCACCGGTGGACGCACCAGACCGACGGGAACGCAGCCGAAGCCGCGGCGACAGCCGCAGCCGCAGCCCAGCATGGACAGCACCTCCTCCGTCTGGTCCCAAAGGCACTCATCACGGCAAGGGCAAGGACCGCCGCAGGAAGCCGAAAGGAAAGGGCGAAGGCAAACCCGCTGGCATGGACCGGATCGCCGAGGTCGCGGCCAAGGCAGCCGTCGCAGCAGTTCGGGCGATGCCCAGCTGAGGCGGCGCGGCAGGCAAAAGCCGAGCTTGCCGCTACAGCCTAGGATTTTTTATCAGCTAAGCAAGCTACTCAGAGAGACCAGCGAGCGCACAGAGCATCAGAAAAGAGACGATGCCTGCGGGAGGGGTTCGGGGTGCATGCATGCTCGTCGGCAGCGCTTGTTGTCTCATGCTTCGCATCCCGCCGCACACCCACTAGTCCCTCGGCACGCCGCTGATCCGTACAGGGGCAGGCGGGTCGGAGAGGCGTCCCACCCCGACCCGCCAACCACAGACAAGGGTCGCCCGCGGCACAAACTGCCCAGCCCCACCGGAACAGAGCTCTGGAGGCATTACGAGGCCTCCAACTGGTTAGGGAGCCGCCACCCGCGTCGGACGCCGAAACGCTGTCAGACACACTCAGCGCCGCCACAGCATGCGCGTCGCCGCTACCTTCCCCACGGGATGTACCAGACGCGGCACAACGTCGACGCGCGGTCTTCCACGCGTTGGCGCAGATGCAGCTCGCGCCAGCTTCCGCCGTGGAGACTTCTGCTGCGCAGGATCCCGGCGAGAACATGCAGCCCAGGTTGGCATGCGATGATGGTTCCCCCACACCGTTCGCATCGCCGGCTGCGAGCCCGCGCCAGTCCGGCCGACCCGGCGAGGCGGCACCAACTCTAGTTGAGGAAGCAACTCCAGGGTTTACTCCGCCACCCTCGCCCACAGCCTGCCCCAACACACTCCGCTGGCAAGATGCCCGTCCACCGAGCTCCCCGCCAGGTGATCGCAACTCGTGGCTGTTCGTGCCGTTGTTACATGCCGCGACTGGGAACCTGAGCGAGGCAGCGTGGGCAGCGTGGCGTTCTCTGCCTCATGAAGGAGGTGCTCGGTTCGACAACCTAGTCGAGACGCTGCGCCAAGCACGGTCGGTGGAGCCGGGCAGCCTCGTGCGGCTGCTGCACGGCGTGGTGGCTTGCGAAGCCCAAGAGAACGGCGAGGCACAACCCCGCCTACCTGCAGCGGACGCGGCTTTCGCGACGTCGTTGCAGGCACTGCCAAATGCCCCCCTCCCTCTAGCGGCGGCGATGCTTCTGGCGATGGCCCCCGACGGTTACGTGTCGGCAGCTGCCCAAGCGACCTTGTTGGAAGCCTACGCTGGCGCGGCGGGGGCCGCAGAGGCCGAGACGTTCGCGGGTGACCTTCGCATGTCCCCGCCGGCTCCCGGCCCTCGCCGCCGCCAACCCCGCCGGCGCCGACCCCGCATGCAGCCCCAGGTTGCCACCGCAGCCGAGCACTTTCACGACAGTGACAGCACACACACGCAAGTTCCCGTATGCCCAGCACACGCACTAGCGTTTCCCGGCCAGTGGGAGCAGCTAGATGCCGTCGACCTTTCGGAGGAGTTGCGACACCCCGTGCCGACGCTGCAGGACGTGCCGCCTTTCATGCGCGGAGCGGTGCGGAACGCTTTCACACAAGCACTCAGCGAACTTCGCGCGGCAGCCGCTGCAGGCCCTCCCGCCAGCCAGGCCAACGCAGCTCGAGCGGCCCGGGCATGGAAGTTGTTTTTGCTCGTGCCGCGTATGTTGCTGACGCGCGCGGCGCAACAAGGCTCGCAAGGTCGAGCCGAACTGCTGAGCCGCGCAGCGGCATTCCAGCGTGGCGAGTGGACCCAGCTCATCTGCAGAGCCAGGTCATCCCGGCACCGTTCCTCGGCCGACAAGCAGGAGTTGCCGCCCGATGAGGTCGCAGAGCGAAAGCGGCAGCGAGCGTGCGCAAAAGTCCGCCAGGGCGAGCTTTCACGGGCCCGCCAGGTGCTGACAGCGGCGGAGCTCGCACCAGGCACGGAGGCTACGTGGCGGGCGCTCACCGATCCGGAACGGCGACCTCCGCAACCCCGCTCGCCAATACCGGCCGAACTCTTGGCATACGAGCCCGAGCACCAGGTCCGGCTTGCAGCAGGGTCGGTGGCCACAGCGCTGCGCGAGGCAAAGCGCGGAGGAGCCGCGGGCTTGTCGGGCATGCGGGCGGAGCACCTTAAATTGCTTCTCCAGGATGCTGAGGCCATGGAGCTGCTGGCGGAGGCCGCCACCCTGCTCGCGCGCGCTCACGTTCCGAAGGAGGTCCAGACTGCGTTGGCCATGGCCCGCTTGACGGCTTTGCGCAAGCCTGACGGCGGAGTACGGGGCATCGCCACGGGCGACGCGTTTCGCCGCCTCGTTTCCCGCACGCTCGCCAAGCAATGGGCAACGGTGTTTGACGAAGCCACCCGCCCATACCAGTTTGCATTACAGGCGCGGGCGGGCACGGATGCACTCGCAGCTCACGTGCGGGTCGCACTCGCCCAGCGCAGTGATGCGGTCCTGGTCTCGCTGGACGGTCGCAGCGCCTACGACTCCATGTCGCGGGCATCTTTCCTGTCCAAGTTGCGCGAGGTGGCCCCGGAGCTCCTCCCCTTCACCCGCATGTTCTACGGCCGCCCCTCCGCATACAGCTGGTGGGACAACACCGGGAGGCACAGAGAAGTCAGGCAAGGGGAGGGGTGCGAGCAGGGCGACCCTCTCGCCCCAGCGCTGTACGCGTTGGGGCAGCATGACGCTTTGCAGCGCGCCAGTTCCGGCCTGCACGCAGGGGACACGCTGATGGCTTTCCTCGACGATCTGTACATCGTCACAGCTCCGAACCGCGCACGTGCAGCTTTGGATGCGGCCACCCATGCCGTAGCTGACCACTGCGGCATCGGGTCCAATCTCGGCAAGACGCGGGTGATAGCAGCCGAAGCAGGCCCGCCGCCGCCTGGCATCGCTGAGCTGGGGGACGATGTTTGGCGCGGCGACAAACCGTCGGCCCAGCGCGGGATCGTGGTGCTTGGCACGCCGGTCGGGCACGCCGACTTCGTCCAGGCTTGGGCTGACGCGCGGCTTCAGGAGGAACGCCGTTTGCTCGTCGAGCTACCTCACCTCCCGGACCTTCAGTGCGCCTGGTTGTTGCTGCTGTTTTGCGCATCGCCCCGCGCCAACCACGCCTTGCGAACGCTACCGCCTTCCGAATCAGCGTCGTACGCGCGGGCACACGACCAGGCTGTTTGGGAGACACTCCAGGAGTGTTTGGGGGGCGTGCCGCCGGCAGAAGCACAGCAGTCCTGGCCGCTCGCGTCGCTGCCAGCGGTCTACGGCGGACTCGGCTTGCAGTCCGCGGAGCGGACGGCCCCAGCGGCGTACTGGGCAGCATGGATGGACGCGCTCCCCGTCATCCGCTCTCGCCTGCCCGGCGCAGCTGATCGTTGCCTGGTCGCTCTGGAGCAAGGCGCGGAAGGCACGATCCCCTGCTTACGCGAGGCAGCGGCAGCGCAAAACCTCTTGCGAGCAGAAGGCTGGGAAGCGTGCCCTGGCTGGCGCGCTGCCTACGAAGGCGCCCGGCCGCAACGACCCTGCGAAGCAGGCCCGGGCGAATGGCCTCACGGCTGGCAGTTTCACGCGACGCGGACTCGAAACCTTCACTATCGCGACCGTGTGCTGCTGCCGGCTCTGCAGCCATCCTCTCGGGCCTTGCTACGCTCACAAGGCGGGGCACATGCTGGTGCATGGCTATCGGCAGTGCCGAGCGAACCAGCATTAACCCTCGCCCCGCATGACATGCAGCTCGCGTTGCGGCGCCGCTTGCGCTTACCCCTGCCGCTTAGCTCAAACCGTTGCGGCCCCAGCCCCGGCTGCGGGCAGCAGGTGGACGAGTACGGGGACCATGCCCTCGCCTGCCCCCGCACAGGGTTGTTGGCTCGCCGAGCGAAAACCGTCGAGCGGGCATGGGTGCGCGTAGCCCGCGAGGCGGTCGGCTCTGATGGGCAAGTCGTCCCTCAACAATGGCTCGTGCACACTACCGCACCGGGCGTGCCAGCTGACGACCGCAGACGGCTCGACTTAGTCGTCTACGGCGCCACACCGCGGGGAGGCGCACTGTGCTGCGATGCGACTCTCGTCTCACCTCTCGCACGGACGGGGCATCCACAGCCGGGAGCCGCTGATACGGACGGGGCCGTGCTCAGGGTAGCCGAGCGCCGCAAACGGTGCACCTACCCGGAGCTGAGCAGCGGAGGACCGCAAGAGCTCCTAGTTCTGGGCTCGGAAGTTGGCGGGCGCTGGAACAGCGGGGCTGACCGCTTCGTACAGCACCTCGTCCGCGTCCGGTCCCAAAGAGCTCCGCCAGCTCTTCGCCGCGCGGCCGCTGCGGGCTGGTCGCGCCGTTGGTGGGGCTTGCTGGCTGTCGCCGTGCAGCGCGCGGTAGCCAGCACGGCGCTGGGGCAGGCTTGGCCAGCGCCGCTCCACCCGCGGCAGGGGGATGAGCCGCCCCTCGAGCGAGTGCTCGAGCTCGCCGGACCAGCGGCGGGCCCTAGTCGCTTGCCCCTGCGCTAGTAGCGGTTGGCACGCCGCCACGTAGAGTGCAGGTGCACAGGGACCGCGCTCGTACAGGTCGCAAAAAGTGTGCAAAAAAAAAAAAAAAATTATAGGGTTTAGAATCCGGTTGGAAAGGTGTTAGGGTTCCTAAACCCTGACTCAATACAGATGTGTCATGAGGCGAGATGCGTGCAATTTGCCGAACGAAGAAAAGCAGGCCGCCTTGCACAAATCGGCCAAACAATTGGATGATGCTGCCGATGCAGTTGGCAGTATGGTGAAGCAGCTGGAGCTTCGGTCAGGACGGGTTTGTTTTGAACGGAGCATCGCGCGCACAGGAAAGTTTCATGCGAGTGCGTGCATGATTGAAGTTGTAGGAGGTTTGCGGGCGGCACGGTTTCAAGCCACTGTCCGAACCAGGTGGTTCTTTGCCGACGCACTTCGTCGGAGTACGGATGCCTGTCCACGTGCGGCGCCGCTTGGGCTACCTGCAGTCGGAAATGCTAAAGCGAGAGCCGCGCGGGGCCCTCAGCTCACGATTTCGGCGGCCTCAGTCGTCATGATTTTCCTTGTTCGACTGTATGTTCGGTTTCGAGCATTTTTCGGCAACGCGCTGAGAATGCTGTCATTCGGATTCATGAGAGTGATCCAAGACAAGCATGCGTGCATGCATCACAGTATCAACTTGGCGATGGTTGCTCCAGGCTTGCAAAAGCCCGCCGTTTCCATGGAGATGCACAGCGGCACTGGATTCGGATTTGGTCGCCTAGTCACACTGCCAAGTGAGGCGATGGAGTTTCGCGGTGGGTTGCGGTTGTAAGGTTGCAGGACTTGCTCATGAACTGCGTTGTCGTGCCTCGTCAGGCTTGTTTGTTGCTCGGGTCAGGTCAGGTCGCCTGAACGCCCGAAGGCGGCCTTTCAAAGGCACAGGGAAAACAATCCAACTATTTGCAAAACTCCGTTGTCAATCGGTCTACCGCTCATTTCTGGAAGGAAGCATGAAATTCACATATTCATCGCGGAAGCTGCTCCAAATCTCAGCGTTTCTTGCAATCTCTTTCCAGTCACCCTAGCCTCTCCAGCGCGCGAAGTTTTCCAAACTAGTGGCCCAACAGCTCTTCGGTCTTCCAGGAACACGTGTGCCAACAGGACTCCATGCTAAAGCACGTTTCGCCCAACATGTGTTTGGAAGATTGATAGCACACACCGCCAGATTCCAGTGCTGCCTCACGCAGTTTGTAGACCACGTGGGTCGATGTAGCCTCGCCCAAACCAAAAGCCCGCACATTCCAGTGATGCAACACATCATGCCATGGATCGTCCCACCGGATATCTGGTGGTGCACCAACAATCTGACGCAAATGTTTTCGGAAATGAACGTCCATTCGATGTAGGCCACTGTTTTTTGGTCCGATGCCCAACTGCAAAGCACGCGATCGGCGAAATGGTTTTATCAAAGAACTTCAATCGGTAAAGAACGGAAACATTCCTGTCACAAAGGATATGACGGTTTGCATGAAAGGCACGAGAGGCAGATTGCAAGTGAAAATCAACGTCGGCCGTTGTGTTTCCAGACCCTTCGTCGGACAGCAAGCATCCCAGCCAGCGATGTGCGACGCCACTCGAGAGGATCTCAACAGTAAGTCCGCAAGGAGTCGTCAACTGTGGTGGAGCTTGAGCTTCCGTCGTGATGATTTTTGTTGTCTTGAGGTTGAGAATGAGCCCGGTTGCTCCTGAATTAGTATCACGTGTCGCCCAGTTCCTGCGCCCTTAAGGAAGTCGCACGTTACTCTGGTTGTGGCAAAGCTGGCCTTTGACGATATCAGCAAAGCGGCAGAGGCCCTTTCGGCAAGTGGGAGACCAACCCAAACAGGTCGTTCAAGTCCAGAATTCAGAACCCACGTTAGGGAGTCACTGTTTTTGTTTTATGCGGCTGTTACCGTCGACGTGTCCAAAACGGTTCCGCTTCTTGCAGAACTGATTTTGTGGGATTTGTTTGAATCGCGGACCTAGCTTGCATCCTCCTGAGAATTGTATTGGTGCCACTGACGTTGTATAAGCGATACATTTGCTAATCCGCAAATGCCGAGCCGCTTGTCAAATCGAAAGGACCCTTCAGTTCTATTCTATGTTCATGTACCGGATGTTGTGGCACTTGGCTTGTCCCCTGCATGAGCATACCAACTCAAACCGAGCCTTTGGGTTTAAAGTTGATTCGGTATTTCTGTTGGGTAAAGCATCCTCACCCATGCGATGGACCGCCCTCCTCAGCCTACCAAGCTTCGAAGGTCACAAACAGTCTGTGTGTCCCACCCAGGCGCTTCAGCGCGGGGCGGAGGCTTGGCGAAGCGAAGGACATGGTTCGGTGCAGCTCGGTATTGTTAGCTATAACCATGATTTGCACACAACCGCCTGTCAGACTCCAAGCACGTATTTTCATTGCGTGCAACCTTCCACTTGCTAACCAAATCGGGGGTAATGCTAGGACATGGCTAGTAAAAGCGTGTAATTATGTATGTATGTATGTATGCGCATGTACATTGTAAATAGACAAATACAAAGCCATAATATATGCAGTAGGCAAACAAAGCACGTGTGTACATTCATCTTATCTATGTACTATGTACACAAACGTGCCCAACTGCGAGTGCGCTTAGCTTGCACGGCTGCCAGAGACACAGCCAGCATCCCAGGCAGATTCGAGCCGAAGGGCTGGGTCATTTTCCGCAGAACGGCGTACTGTACACTCGCTTGCTACCACGCGATGTTTTCGATTCGCTGCGAAAGCATTTGATGCAAGCATTTGCTGAACTCAGCTTGACGTTGGTGGACGAGGCTGGGACAGTCGCACACCTGTTGCTCGTACGTTCTCATGCTTTCGTGCTCGTCGCTGCCCAGATGCCGGACGAAGCAGTTGCAAGCGCGGAAGCATCGGCAAAGTCAGGCTGGTGGGTTCACAATCATGTTGACCGACAGGACATGCTTACGAATGTAAGCCCAAACCCTGTATTCAGTCGAATCGAGGCGATGCAGCACCAGCTGATGCAACTGAAGTTGCAGAGGCCTCGCCGAAAGAGGGGCAGAAGAAGGAGAAGGAAGCCAAGCCAGTCCAGCATGTTTTGGGTGCTCGCATAACATGAAGTTGGAGGGCTTCACACGTGGATGGATGTAAAAGGGAACTCGAATCGCTGCTTTCTCAGAGCCACATTTCCTATACCGGGTGCTTTGATGATGTTGTTGGTGATCTTCTCTTGCATGTTCAGTCTGTCAATCTGAAACCGGAGCATCAGAGCTCGTCAGAGCCCCAGCAAGTCAGCCACGGCGATTTCGTCACAGACTTTCCATTTAAACTACCCCAAGCAGCCCTAAGCCTAGAAAAGCACCACGTAGCTCCAAATCTAAACTCCTGCAAAGCCGCACGCGGTGGCCGAGAGGCCCCGTGGGCCCCAACCCTTCGTTTTGGTCTCCCAAAGCCTGAAACCCTCAGCGTTGCAGGGCAGAAGACTCCGCGGAGTCTGAGCATCAGGCCACAGCTCCGAAAAGCAAGAAGTCAGGCCCCTGGGTTCTAGAAACAGAGAGGTCTAGGTCGTGATGATAGGCCATTCCAAGTAGTATTACTTGTAGTATCCAAGTCCTGGTCTAATTACTTAAGGGCCCATTCGATCAGACGTATGCTTTGCTTTGGCGAGCTATCTGGTCGTGTGGTTACTTGGTAAGTATAGACGTTGATGCGTAACTGGTGTGCTTTTCCGTCTTCACATTCCTGCATGTTTTGTTCTTGTTTGATTTAAGTGTTGCTGTGCATTGATCAGTCGCGCCTGGCGGTTTTCCGTGCTGGTTTGGAGACAGCTGTATGACTTTACAAGCCAGACCTTCCCCATGTATTTACATGCGGATCAGTGCAACAAGACTTGATAAGACTGCACGATCTTCATTCACATGGTTCTATTGCACTTTGATGGGCCCGGAGGCCGCAAGAAGAAGCTTCCTGGCGAGCCCCAGACGCACTCATCCCGAAGTCTACTGTATCATTTACATGGTCCGTGCTAGGCTAGGCACCGCAAATCGAAAGAGTCTTCCAACCAAGACTTGGAGCTCAGCGTACTTGGAATCAATCATAGACCTTAGAAGGGGCCCCCACCCTGTAATGGTGGTATAATAGGAATATAGTAGGGCCCCAATAATATAATCCTTATAGTCACTATTGCAGGGTGGGGGCCCCTTCCACAAAAGACTGCTTTAGGTGGCTGTTCTTGCACCATTTATGACTGCTTTGTTGGTAAGAGTCGTCAGCGTAGCTGCCCAGCTGCCGAGCCCAGGAGTATTTGCCCCACGTGACCCTCTTCAAGTCATCGCAGGCAGGGCGAGGAAAGAATGGGCAGAAGGCCGGCTCCGAGGGGTTTAGGATTCTAGACTAGTGTATAAATCCTTTTTGTGAAAGGCGCGATGAGGCTGCAGGAGTTTGGAGTCTGCAGCTCGGAAGGGTGTTTTCAGTGACATGTGAGGTGTTTTTTGAGGCTTTTGGGGTTCGTAAGTATCAAGGGTTGCCGTAGCTCAAGGTGAGGCTTACCTGATAAGAGCTCGAAGCCTACTAGTAATCGGCAATATACTTCAAAGAGATCCTAGCTTGACAACACGTAGCCCTTCAGCTGTACATCCCTCGAGAAGGTGCGTCCCTCGACCTTAGAACTGCCGATAGCTGAAACCTTTGAGCCACGAGGCCGCCAAAGCTGCAAAGCAAAGCATCGCCCGGGTGGCGAAGAGTCTGCTGAGCACTGAGAAGATCTCCTTCGGATCCTTCTCTCTGGAGGAGCGGAGTTCAACGCCCTAAGTCCAAAAGCCCAAATGTCCAAACTCCCGGAACTTTGCAGCTTCCCTTGACCAGTGCTCTCACAGTTACAGGCAATATCGGGAAGAACTGCCCTTGATGCCTTGGGTTCCGAAGTTCCAGAGGATCAGGTACCCCCAAAACCTGCAACACTCTTGGACCCTGATTTAATTCCTCAGGCTGCGACTGATAGAGGGCTTAAGGGGCAGGTTTGCTTTGCGGATGTCTCCCGGGTTGAAATCTGAACTCCTTTGCTCCTGAGGATTGTGAACTCCTGGCAATGCATCATGTGCAAGGGGATGGCTACTTTGAGGCACAGGCTTCCGCGAGGCTGCGAGAGAGTTCGGAGGAGGATGCCGCGAGTCAAGGAGAGGAGGAGGACGAGGAGGAGGAGGAGGAGTTCCAGAAGCAGGCCATGCAAATCCTGAAGCAGATTCCTGAGGAGGCGGACCAGAAGTCTCCGAAGAAGAGGAAAACTAAGAAGAAGCAGGCGAAGAAGACAAACCAGAAGGACTTGGACTCAGAAGAGGAACAGGCAGATGCAGAGTCGGAAGAGAGTGAAGGAGACACGTCCGAGGAAGAGGCACGCGGATGTTTGCAAGGAAACCGCCAGTCAACACTGAACTCCTAAGTAAGCGGGGCGTCCTGGCAGAACCAGCAAGGGATTCTCAACCCAAGAGTTTTTGAAATCTCAAGCAGGGACAGATGGAGAGAGAGAGAGAAGGAGACAGCCAGGCACCTGCCAAGAAGTCCTCGGCTGCCAAGCGCGGGAAGTTGGGCAAAGCAGTGGCAGCACCAGCAGCCAAAGCAGTCATCTCAGTCTGAGGTCTGTTGAATACCCTGTGAAGCTAAGCAGAGTTCACGTTTCGGCAGACATGTATGTAGTCTTGTACTTTTAGTGGCCGGGGTCTGTTGGTTCTTAAGATACACAAATTTCAGGTTCCAAGCACGAAGGTCACAACAGTAGACAGAAGTATGCATCAAGACAAGCTTTGTATGGCTTGCAACATTCCATACCGAAACCACGAAAAGCCTAAATGCAAAGTGCTTGACCCTTATCTCTAGCAGCCTCAAGCCGTTGCAAGTTCGTGCCTGAAGCCGCTTTGGCAGAGTCGCCCAGGTCAGCAGCAAGAAGAAAGCAGCGAACTTCGGCATCAAAGTGTTCAGTGTCTGAATAGTCCAGTAGGTGACCTGCAGTTTCTCTAAGAAGCTGGACGGGTGAGACGGGCGTCCATGGCGTTTCGGGCTTCCGGCCTTTCTGGTGCTCCGACAAGAGTTGAGTTTGTAGGGTTTGTAAGGGTTGAGAGCTGCAAGGCCCTTCGTCCCGCCCAAGAATAACGACATGTCTTAACAGGGCCAGTGATGCCAGGTCCAATCATATGCCCATAGCATAGCCGTAATATAGTCTGCCAGAACATATTCCAATATCATCACAGAGTATGGCATAGCAATAGCATGGCCTAGCCCAGCATAGTAGTGGGTACAACCTAATCTAATGTACAATCGCATTTAATTGTGTTGTATTTTCACGTCGCTACTCAGAAAAGATCATCTTGACGCCCAAAGCCGACTCCAGGAAAAAGAAGGCTGCCCCGGCACGACCTCCAAGCGAGAAGGAAGAGGAGGAGGAGGAGGAGGAGCCTGGAGCCCGGGGGGGCGTGGAGCTTTGGAAATTCGGGCTTTGGTTTCGGTTTCGTATTAAGTGGGCCCAGAGTTTTGAACTTGCTTCCGCCTTTGCCTTGCTGGCCTTGCCGAGCTATCCTACGGTGAAGCCTTGAAGAGCTGCGCTCCAGGACGAGGACGATGCTGCAGACGGTCTTGAGCAGAGCCGGGAAGATCAGCGCATTGATCCTGAAGACGGTCTGGCATACACCTGGTCAGAGTTCAGCGAATATTACACGGGAAAATATAAGAAGAAGGTGATCGAAGCTTACTGGAACGATTGTCACCTGGTACCGAAGAAAGAGGTACCACAACCGAAAGCAGCTCAGAAAAAAGCAAGACGGCGCTGGTTCTCCAGAAGATGACAAAGACACTCAGAGTTTGCAAGACAGAGCTTGTTCTCGGGAAGGTGCCGCTGCCAATGTACATCATGCGCTTGCACGCCGGGCTACGACATCAGGCCCGGATGAAATAAGCCCGCACGCATTCGTCGAACAACACTGGTGTGGGTTCAAAGCACCCCGGCATGCCTTTGGCTTGGTTTGGCTCAACCTCCAGACATGCCGTGATCAAGACTTTCGCGCAAAAGGATGTTCGCCTGGTTCGCCCGCCTTGAGACAGATGCACAGGACATCACGGGACCACATTTGTAGCACAAGCAGACGTAAACATGAGGACCCCGATCGTGCCTTTGGGTTGTTAGTTGTTACTGTTTGTGCCAGACGGAGTTCACAGCTGCTTTTCACCACGCTCGCTGCAGTTGCGTGGTGACACGCCATCGTCATCGAATAGCAATCCCTGGTACCATCATGTCATCATCATTATCACCATCTTCATTTCCATATTCACCCGCAAGGCGACGACGACTTCGTCTTGAATGTCGCCGGTAGCATCAGTATTCGCGCTGAGCGGGAAGCAGTACGAGTAGGGGAATGCCCAAACCCCAACCCCATCTTGGAAATTACCCGAGTCATAGCCCCACATGAAGCTCAACAGTGTATGTTCGACCAGACTGCTGACGCTAACCAAACCTCCGAGCCCCAAAATCGGGCGTTCCATCTACAAGTTATTGATGGGCTCCTGCATCTGCCAACCTACAACCCCACAAGCCACAACATCAGTGATGGTAGCAGGCGCAGCAGGCTTCAGCTGTACGAACTGTCCATGCAATGCCTGCTGGGCCTACTCATGAGGAGCAGTGACAGGGCTGACCTTGCAATGATGTTTCTGCGCATCGGGCAGGTGCAGTTTGAGCGTAGTCACCTCGTCTTGACAGAACTCATTCGGGGCCTAGGGGGAAGTTACAGCTTACCATGAGACCACAACGTGGCGTGACTTGAACGATCATCCCTTGTTGCTTGCGGGTTGCTTCTTCATTGTGTTGCTTCTTCATTGTCTTGTTGTTGTTGTGAGCTACCTTAAACTAACACGGAAAGGACTGTGGGTGCGTGTTTGATGATTTCGTCGGGTGAATATGCACCCCAGTAAAAACCTTCGACATCTTCATCCAAGGAAGGCATTCTGTTCTTTTGAAAAAGCATGGTCGTAGTTTGCAACTACAGGTTTGCTTGACGTGCGGCCCGGCGCAATCGTTGGCTCGAGCTGCTGACTGTTACATGTAGCTGTTTGCCAAATCCTCTTGCAAAGAAATTCCGTCTCGTGATGGAGAGTGGAAGGACTGTGGAACAAGCATTATGTGGTATTATGTGGCTGTCTTCTATTGCCGTAGACCGGTAGATGTTTGAGCGAGTTAGTTGCGATTCAGGTCATCGCTCGATGTTCAACCGGCAACTGGATATTGTGCATGATGAACATACTCTGTGTTACTATTCAACATCATTTCTGGCAGTAGTCTTGTTGTTGGCTTCCGCACACGGCAAATGCCTGAAAAATCAAGATATCGCAAGGTGCCGGTGTAGCTTGCATTGGACGTGCAGCACATTGTCTGGTTCGGTACCGAAAGTACTCAGGCTGCCATTCCTGTTGCATCTGAGGCTCCAAGCTTCTCGTGTCATCGGCCAGTGCATCCATGTCCAATCGCGACATCCTTTGGCTCGTGCATCCGTCTCCGAGTGCTCCATACCAAAATGAGTGCTTCCGATCGTTATGGCTTTCAGGCCCTAACCATCATAACGCCCATGTGCGAGTGCATCCACTTCCCAGCACCTCCACAGGTCCATTTGCGAGCGCTTTTGCTTCTTACCTAGTGTTGTTGCATCCAGTCAAGTTGTAGGTTTTCTCAACACCATGCTCATTTGCGAGTGCGATCGATTGCTGTCCCATAATAAAATCCAGTCGCGAGAGCACCCAGGCGTGACGAATGTCGTACACGTTTTGCGAACTAGGACAGAGATCGTTGTGCCTAGAGCTGTTTTGAGCAACAGTTCGGACACCTGACATTCTTAAAAGAACAAGCTTTGACTGCCCCATATTCGCGAATCCCAAGTCGCAGCACGTTGTCGAAGACATGTTGCCTGGCTGTTTGCATTAAACCGGACGTAGTCATTTGTGACCATTGAACTGCAATGCCACACATGCCACGTACTTAGTATTCCCTTGCAGTCTTAGGCGATGCCATGCACAAGGGTTTACACAACGTAATTGCCAGTACATACCAGCATGGGCATCGCAGTGTGGTTCAATGATTGCCCCCAAACCGTTGTTGTGAGGTACACCATGTTTGGTTGCCAGCATATCTCCACTGACTATCGCTCATTCCAGTTTTTTCTGCGCATTCCCTGAGGAGTCATGGGACTTCATAAGATCTTTGTCTTCTTCCTGGCCTTCGTCGGCCTTTCCCTGCGTGACACAAGTTTCCAGCCGTGCGAACAAAGTGATGATTGCGATCCAAACAATGCGGACAGCAATGCCAGGCTGTTGGAAGGGGCTGGAGAAGGCACGATGTCTGCGGATGCAGAGCTTGCGTCCGAAGACGAGCTAGAAGCAGAAGATTCTGCAGACCTGCAGGTACTGGTAGTCCAGCCTGCGGATCATTCTTTCAATCAGTCTTTCAAAGCCCGTCAGTCACCAGGGGTGAAGCTGGAAGCAAGCGTCTTTGGAGGTGTTGACGCCACGCCGGCCACGAAAAAAGCGCGCAGAGTCTTGCATGGTCCGATGCACCTGAAGCGGATTGCGGACAAGGATGTATCCCGTGCCAGCTTGTCTACTGTTCAGTACGATTGGGTGAAGATGATACGGGGCAACAAGAACTATACTGTCATCTTCGAATGCAGCGACGAGAACGCCAAAGTGACATTGCCGCTGGCAGCCATTGGGCTGATGCCCACGCTCATTACAGTGCCTTGGCTAACACATGTTCCTGATGCTCTCATCGCAAAATCGAGCATGGCTCCTTAGCCGGGCTAAGCAGATTTCGGGCCACTTAGGGTCGAAGAATGCGCATAGCAGCGGCTATCTTCTCCGTGAGCTTCAACATTATTGATCCTTCTGCATATAGCTTGTTGTGGTTCCTAATCTGGTTCTTTTCTCGATTATCAATGTTAAACTTCGGATGAGCCATGCAGGAGGCAAAAAATGTTAAACTGCTTGGGGCTGCTGTAATTTGTATCGTCCAACACCCCCCATAGCAGAACTCTTTCTGTATTCTTGTTGTTGCTGTGCATGACAGTGCAGCATAATGCTCTTGAAACGGTTGGAGCTAAGCAAACCGGGCGGATTCAAACCAGGAGTTGCCCAGAGAATTTGAGGCACTTTAACCGTTGCGATTCGAAGAGAGACCCACATAGCTTCGATCTCGTTTAAGCCGTTACATTGGGTTGGGGCATTCAAACTACAATGGGTCCCTTTGCCAAGGAACTCCGACACACAAAAAAGGACCCTAGGTTCACCGGTACGCTCATTCAGACCCTCCATACAACCCTTCTGCCACATGTGCATCATCCTTGTAGGTTCCTTACATAAACTCAAAGTGTGGGACCTAATCCCGTTGTAGACCCAAGGACCGTCTAGACAGATTGAATTACGTGTGGAAGCCAAAACAATTATTTGTTTAGCATGCCTCCGAAAAAGCTCTTGAAACATAGGGTCTTTACCTGGCCGCTGAGGTGTTCCTCTCCTGTCTGATGCCGGGGTTTCTCTGTGGCATGTGTGGCAAGTGCGGCTTCCATGCTTTGGAAACAGTGCCTGCAGGACGTGACGAGGAAACAGATGACAAGACAACATCTTTGGTTCCTCGCCTGAAGCAATCTCTGCTAGTAAGGACAACCAAGCACTGGTGGGTCCAAGCAAACCCGGTGCTGATTTTTGCCGCTTTCTTCGTTAAAGCGGTTATAACCAGCGTGTTGTTCGACAGGCGCCTGGGTGCGGCCAGCCCTGCTATAGCTGCTATGACTGCCGTGCATGTTGCATTACCATTGGTGAGCTGCTTGTCAAGTCTTGCTGTGCTGTGGGGTCTTCAAGCTGCACCACGCGTGGCATTCACAGCCGACACTGCGCACTGCCCAGCCGAAGTTCAGAAATCCTTGCAGAAAGAGTTTGCTACAGTTTCATACTTTCTTGGGCCCAGGCTTGGCATGCTTACGCTTGGCTGCTGGTTGATGCCGGGTGTTGTGTATACGATGGCCAACACCCAGCAATGCTTCAAGCCGGCATCGGCGTTTGCGCATGTTTCCTTTTTGGCAGCCGCGTACTTGTCGAACATCTTGGCTAGTCAGTTCCTGCTGGAGGCCGTGATAGTGGCTCGCGTGGCTCAAGCTCACGTACGAACGACCAGGGACTCGCTTGACCTAAAACCAGATGTTGACAAGTTGCAGACATTCCACAAAGCTTGCGTGAGGCTTGTTGATGAGATCATGCCAGAACTTGCGAAGATCAGTGGGCCAACTCTAGGTTTGGCAGCATGCAGAGCTGTCTTGAGCTGTTTCTATATCCTCGAGGTGGCCCGCAATGTTGCTAGGTGGGAAGAGCTACGCGGCAAGATCACAGTGACAGCTTTGTTGATGTCAATCGTCATTGACATGCCCGTCGGAATTTACTGCCTCTTGCTCCCAGCTAGCGTTTCAGACGAGTGTGCGGAGCTGATGGAGCATCTCAACAACGTCAGGGCGCAGGAAGTACCCAAGGAACTCAAGGCCGAGGTGGACAGAGACTCCGACGCAGACATTCCTGTGTTTGATTGGTATGACTCATATGACATGATTTGTAGCAGTAGGGGCCGAGGAAAGCAGCAGTGGGCCAAGCGGGCTTGGGGGGTGGGCTTGGGGCACTCAGCACCGCGAGTATGACTAGGATTCAAGCAGGAGTGGAGGTCGCAAATGCAATAGCAGCTTCAATAGCATTTGCGCAGCATGAACAGCTGCCCGTGCCCGAACCGAGTTGCAACACGTTCTGAAAGCTTGTGTTTCTGGCTACCTTCGCAGCATTTGAGGAGAGATCCGGCTGACCGAAACCTATTTGAACAAGGCTTCGTCGGCTGGGTCGGAGTTTTGATTGATGTAGGGCGCTTCCCTTTGCGATCCCTTCCCGTCAAGGTCAACCGTGGCCAAGGCTTGGGCTTTGTGCTTTATGGCTTCAAGACGCTTGGCCGGCTGAAAGCTAGGCAGTAAATGTCCTCGTTTGTGAGTTGCGCTCCTGTCACACAGACCCCCTTTTATGTGTCTCTTCATACCGACAGTAGATGTTGCCTCAACGACTTAAGGCCCAACGACTTAGTTGTATGTGTAGCTGCCTTACTTAGAACCCTGCTTGCTAAGTTTCCTGATCCTCTTAATTTTCAGTGCTTTGATCTTTGGGGAACTAGCCTTCAACAGCCTGCGCGGGTTCGGACAAAGATCCAGGGCCATCTACGACACAGTTTGGTTCCAAAAGGGATTGCCGAAGTCATGGGCTGCAAAACCTGGCCCTGTGCTTGCCGGTTATAGGCAATTTTGGTAAGAAAAGCTGAACCCAGGACCCCAGTTGACTTCCCCACATCGCTATTTGCCTCAAGCCCAAGTGGGCAGAAAGGACAGTGGTGGACAAGCGGATGATCTTGTCCATTTTCGCGAAGTTTGCTGCTGCATCCTCGCTCTTGATGACACTGCTTCGCGAGGCGTGGTGCACGGATTGCCCCCAAGTCTAAACGCCGCACAATCGGCCTGATGTTTTCAGCGGATCGTGAGACTGAGGGATCAAGTGTTCCTTCCTACACCGAGGTCTACAGCCAGGAGAAGGAGATGGAAGACGTTCTGATGAAGCTAAACTCCACGGCTCAACGAAGCTGACTCGATAGCAGCGACTTACAACACCTTTTGTCAGTTTTGCTGTCTTTAGCTAGTATGACAAATGAGTAGTACTATTGTGGACACTGCATACTGCGTATGCCATTTCGCATCCCTTTCGCTTCACTTGTCCTGGAAGCAGATTGCTTCTGAGCTGCTTTGCCGAGTAGACACATTTTTTTGCTTGGGCTCGTAGCTGGGTACCGCGGTTTTACCAGGAACGTCGACCTTTTTTCGAACTTGCAGCTTGAAACCTCGCCCATTTTGGCTCAGGGCTAGGCTTGTAAGGTTCGGATTTGTAGGGCGCAGGTGCCTCAGTAGACACGGTGAGTCGGATAGTTCATTTTCTATACTACAGTTGTGATTGTTGCAATCATTCTCATGACAACCGCTACTTGATTTTTCAGTCCACCAGGTACACCACTAATCCTTGTACTACTACTACTACTACTGCTACTACTACTACTACTGCTACTACTACTACTACTACTGCTACTACTACTACTACTACTACTACTGCTACTGCTACTGCTACTACTACTACTACTACTGCTACTACTACCACTACTCCTGCTACTACTACTACTACTACTGCTACTCCTGCTGCTACTACTACTACTACTACTACGACCACCACCAGCACCACCACCGGCAGCTAGCATTACCGATTTCCACCGTCGCTGCTGCAATAGCGCAGCAGCCCGGCGATGGCAGCTGCTCATCTCGTAGGCGGATGAGCCACATCCTCACATGCCTGCTTTGAGACTCCCGGTGGGGCACTGTGCAACGGCGGAAGTTGAATGCCTGAGCTTCTATCAGCAGTGCAAAATTCCGGGCTTGCTCGAGTTCGAGGCCGGATACCATGTTGGAGTGAAATTTGACAAATGAGCCAGTGATGTCGACCATTGTCACACGACACTTTGGGCATTCGATCTCAGAAGGAATGCCCGTACGACGATGCAACTCGATTCCTTTCTGTCCGCATTGTTTGATTCGGAATTCCGTGCAGTGTCAGCAGATGTTTCTCTCTTGTTTCTAAGAATGGTCGGATGCCCCTCCTCTTGCTGCACGGAGAACAGCGACTTGCGGAAAGTTCCGCATTGAGGCGTAGTAACCCTCAACCTTCGTCAGCCCTGCACTTCTTGAGCCTTACGAAGCCTTGAGACCGAGACCTCTACAGCCCGTCAAGCTGGTAGACTTATAATGCTTTTCTTCAGCTTGTGAGACTTTCACGCACGACGCCATCATCAAATCCATGTGAAACCATTTAGAAGACCTCGCACCGCGGTAGATCAATTGGGGCCCCCCTCTTTTGGACAATTCCTATGAGCTGAGGCACCAATGCATCACCTGAGGATGACGACTGTGTGGTTGTAAATTGTGCCGGCCTCGATACGGGAGTTCCTGAAGAGGTGTAAAGGCGATGTTTGCAAGCTTCCGTTTGGAGATGACATTGAGGGGAAGCGAGTGAGAGCCTACGAAGTGAAGCTTTTTCTCTGGAATGTGGGTTTGCGCAGCACTTCTTTTGACCTGAAGGCTGCTCTCCCGTAATTACCCCGGTGAGAGGTTTGGGGATGCCGGGGCTGAAGGTTCGCATTGCCGCAGCCTCCCAGGAAATGCAGTAGCATTTGCAAAGCCTCCCGAGTACTGTCCTAATTTGTTGGGTAACACTTTTTGGCCACGAACCTGAAAGTCCTAGTACTCAGACGTATGCCATGTGTAAACCCGTAAACCCGAAGCCTTAGAATACTCTCTCCAGTGGCTCCGGCACAGTTGCAAGAAGGAAAGCAGCCCCGAAGCCTAGCCGGGCCTAGCGGCCCCGAGGCCCAAGGCCCCGCTCGTTGGCCTCAGGTGTCGAGGCTCCGGAGGCATCTCCGGCCTCTGCCTCTGCACGCGGCAAGAAAGCGGCACCCTCGGCTCGGGGTGTCCGGTGTCCTGAAAGGCGCCTCCGATGTAGGGCACGTCTTTATAGTCCTCAAGTTAAGGAACTAAGAACCCCAAGCAAGGCCTTTTTCACAATGTGCGAAGCCGTCGAGCGATCAACGAGACGTGACGACACATTGATGACCGCACGCATAGCCAATGATCCGGACCGAACCCCAAGGTGATCTATGAACCCGCCAGAGCCGCTGAGGATGGCAAGAAGAGCGACGAAAAGAAGAAGAGGAAGAAGCTGAAGAAGGCGCGTGACTTTGAGGTGGACAGTTTTGAGTTCCGTTAACCACCGAAGTCTCACACCTCATCAACGCCCCCAAAACGTTCAAAAACCCATGAATGACAAGCTCAAGCATCCTATCTCAAGCGATCATGCCCACTCCTGAAACCCATATTTTTTTCTGAACCTCGTGAGCGCCGAAACCCTAAACCCCCCTGAAGTCCAGCTATAACCGAGTCCTAAAGGTCCCTGGCTTCGCCTTTCAGGCTCTTGCCAAGATTTCCCAGGATTTGTTACATGCGAGGTCCGAGTTCTGAAACTTCAGAGCTGAGGGATGCTGAGAGCTTTATATAAATGTGAAGCATGTTCAACCTGAAAACCGGCCGCTCAGCTTTTGCTCTTCAGCGACAGTGTATGGACCTGAGCCATAGCATCGCTCCGGCTGCCGCCTCTGGCTCTTTGAGTGCACTCCTTGTGGCTCTAGCTCAGCATCTGCGAGCTCCTGAGTTACCGCTGGATTTCCACTGCCCGAGCTTGGGGCCCGAACCCTCCTTGAGCTTTTTGGGGCTCCATCTGGATCTTCTGTCCTTGGTGATCGGGGTTGTCATTGGGCTGCTTTTGTGGCCGCTCTTTGAACTCCTTTACTTGTGGCAGGCCTTCTTGAAGGCCCGGATCCGCGCCCAACTTAGGCGCTTGCCCCCGAATCTGTATAAGATTCTTGAATGAGCCAGGGGAATCTGCAGGATCAGATCCTCTGGTTCTGCGAGTGAGAGCTCTTGAAATCCAGGCCGGCCTGTCCGGTTCTGCTGGGAACTCCGAACCTACTGCCGGTACCACCGCAGGCAGCTTCGAACAGATCTCAGCCGCCGCGGCGGACACCGGGGCTCTTCAAGACGGCTCTCTCAGTTGGGAGCGCCGTTTGGAAATTGCTCGTGACACTGGTGATTTCTTCCTTCGCTGCCTGGAGGGCAGAGACAGGGGAGAATCGGGGCAGCGTCAGATTCAGCTCGCAAAGAGGGTCTACGTGGTGGTTCGGGGAAAGACTGGGGTTTGCTACAATCCTGTCCGAGTCTTTTACAGGTTCAGCGACTGCAGGCCCCTCGTGCAGGAGGGCGTCGGCTTTGCGGATTCCATCTTCTCCGGTTTTGCCTCGCAACGCGAGGCACGGACCGCAGTTGCCAGGGCCCGTCTGGCCTGGCCCGAGTTTGAGGAGAAATGAGTGCCGAACCTGCTGGCGAAGGCAGCGGAGCGGAGCACAGTGCAGTGGAAGCCGATGGTCCAGGCGACGATGGCATGCCCTTGACGGTCCGCGATTGGTGTTTGGTCACCGAGGATGGCGGGAGATTAGACGAGACCGCCCCCGAGCTTTGTTTGGAGACCGCTGGTCAGGACGGGGCCGGGCCGTTATTCCCGTAGTTGTGGTTGGGGGCAAATTGCTAGTAGCCCTGCCTGCTGGGGTTTGGCATCGAAGCCCTGCTCGGCGAGCTCTTCCACCTGGAAGCCTTTCGAAACCTGTGCTCGCCTTGGTGGCTGGACAGAAACCTCCAACTGCGGCGGATGGGGAGCCCTCCGAATGCGAACTGAAGGTCTGGGTCGCCTACCTCGCTCCGAGCGCCGAGGCCAAGGTCAGGGAGCGGGGTGCCGGCGAGGACTTGGCGATCTCCTTTGTAGATGCCGAGGGCGAGGGGTGTCTGCCCCTTTCCGAGGCCCTTATCCGATTGGGGGACGAGCACTTTTCGTTCCTGACCGCGGAGTCCGCAGATCCTCCTCCTTTGGGCGGCGCCGCCGTTGGCGAGGACGTCACCAGACGGGTTGCGGCACTGGAAGGCTCTCTGATTCAGATTCAGCAGTCCCTTGCCCTGCTCGTGAAGGAGAAGGCCCGGGAGACCCAGAAACCAGGAGCCGACCGGGAGCGACCTCGCGCCACGACGACAGCCGCACCTTCAGCAACAGTTCGGGAGAAAGCCGGGGGCATAGGAAAGCTAGATCGCTCGGTTGTTGCTTCCGCTCGTGCCGCAGGGATCTCCGAGGAACACTTGAATCAGATGGCCGATCTACTCCTATCTCGGCCTGGCCGCATCGAAGATCTTCCTCGTCGGCCCCAGAAACAGGGACCTCTTTCCGAGACGGAGGACGAGGAGGCGGTGGATGCAGCAGATGGCGGCGCTTCTGGCTCGGGCGAGCCTCCGGATCCCTTAAAGCAGGCCGTGGTGGAGCTGACAAAGATCGCCAAGACCCTCGTTCCAAAGAAGGCGGAGGCGAAGACGGACTTGGAGAACCTCCTTTCTGGGAGCTTGGCAGACCGAGGGGATACATCTTCCGGCGGCGGCTCCCGTCGGAACTCCGCGGCGCTGGCCGCCTTGAAGCGTCTCCTGAAGGAACAACCGGCGGCCATCTACGAGAACATCGAGCGGAACCTGCGAGAAGACTTTGGATTGCGCGCCCAAGTGGCCGGGGAGCCCTCTGGGCACGGGACGGCGAGGGCCTGGCTCCAAACGCGCTCGAGGGTCCAAAACTACACCAATCATGTACGATGGCTTTGGCAGCTGAGTGCTGTTTGGGACTGCCTGATGCAGGGGCAGAACGAAGAGGCGAGAGCCAGAGTGGCTCTGCTCATGGCAGCCGGAGAGCAGTCGTCCATCGACAGCGGAAATTGGCTGATATCGACAGTGGCTCTTCTAGAGCCCCCACCACCGTACCAGCAGTTCAGTCATCATACGACCCCAGCCGCCCACGAGTGCCAGCACTCCGCTCTCTACGATCCTCGTTGGTTCGAGCTTTTCCTTTGGCAGCTGAAAGAGCACGAGTCCTACTTGGAAGCCCGGCGAAAGCTGACTCAGAGAAAGCCCGGCCCTACCGTCGACCCCGGATCAGACGCAGCGGCTCAGAGGGGCCCGAAAGCCAAACAAAAGCCAAAAGGTCCGCACAGCGAAGAATAAAGGCTGCGGCGAGCGTGGAGAACAACATCGATGAGAAGGCCTCCCCTTTCTCCACGGCTTTGTCTGCAATTTCGATTTTGACCTCATTGCCCAGGAAACTTCTGCATTTAGATTGTGCCTTGGGTTCCTTTGCCAGAAGCGTCCGTAGACAGACCGGCCGAAGACGGCCGAACACCGCTTCTTCATCAGCCGATGTGTGGCCTATGCCCCCGCCCTACCCCGAAGCTTATCGAGAGACTGGAGAGCCTCGCGAGAGCCGGGCCCGAAAGCGAGCCGTGAACTCCTTCGTGGTTGGCCTCTCCTTCCTCCATCTGCGGCGTCCTCGGAAGGCGCCTGCCGAAATGCTGTTGGGAAGGAAACTCAGCTCGGAGCAGTGGGCCACAGTTAGACGTTTCGAAAGGCTGTTGGAAGCGTGGCTAATTCATCCGTTGGTCACTTCCGAAACTCTCGGGAGAAATGCAGCTAAAGTAGAGGAAATCGATGCCGTGCTCAGTGACCTCGAGGCCGTCCTGATCGGCCTCTTCCCCGAGGGCACCTACAACCGGTTTGGCCGCGAGGATCTCAAGCCTGGCCAGCCCCCGTCTTGTGGAGTGAACCGTGTAGGGAAACTCGCATCTAGCCTAGGGACCTCTTTCAAGAAGCTCGACCCCGACCGGATCTCCTTTATCGGCGAGCCCTCCTTTGACCCGGCTCCGTACTTAGATAAGATCGGGCGCGAGATCTTCTTGGATCCCTTACGGCACGCCCTGCTTCCTTGGGAGTTTTTCGGTGAGCTCCCCGCGGTCCAGGTGCACATCGTCGACGGCAAGAGGGATCGCTTTCTGGATCTTTTGGATGCGAGCGGGAGGTTGGCCCTTTTTAGACCCGAAGACGTTCGACTTGAATTCCTTTCGGGTGTCTTCGCTGTAGGCAAGGACAGCTCGAAGGACCGCATGATCCTGGACGCAAGGCGACCCAATGCCTTGGAGCACCCGATTGGTCGGTGGATTCGAAGCTTAGCGTCCGGGGAAAGTTTGTGCCGGCTCATCCTGATGCCAGGCGAGCGCCTGGTCTTCTCGGGGAATGACGTCCGAGACTTCTATCACTTGTTCAAAGTGCCCAAGAACAGATCGATCCGAAACAGCATGAACATGTTCGTTCCTGAGGATGTGTGCCGCAATTTTCGTGCCTACGATCCTGAACTACATGCTGGAGCTCGGTACTTAATACCTTCCCTGAACACGTTAGCAATGGGAGACTGCCAAGCAGTGGAAATAGCTCAAACCTGCCACCTTAGCATGGCTTGGCGATCAGGTGCCCTCGAGCCGGAGTCCACATTGACATTGGCGGGACCTCCGCCCCGGTCTCGAACCTTCGGAGGGATCGTCATAGACGACTTCGTTTGTGCTGAAAAGGTCGGAGGGGACTTTCGCGGCGGGGAGCACCGAAGCGGCGGCGCAAAGGCGGCCGACCTCATGAGTGATACGTATGTCGCAGAGGGCTTGATACCGCACCCCGGCAAGGCCTTTCGTGATCTACCTCAGGCGACCTTTTGGGGTACAGATGTGGACGGTGAGGCCGGTTTGGTACGAGCTTCCCTCGTCAGGGCCATTCCCCTGATGCACATCATTTTTCGGGTTGTGACCGTGAAGTTTGCCACTGCCCGGCTCCTGCAGGTCATCTCGGGATCTCTCGTTTCCATTTTCATCTACAAAAGCCGCTTGCTTTCCCTCCTGAACATCGTGTTTGCCGTTGTTCAGCACCACGAGGCCGATGATATCATACCGCTCGGGCCCGAACTTCAGGAGGAGCTCGTCTTGTGCGCCTTAATGATCCCGCTGGCTGTCTCAAACATTCGAGCCGCCATCCTGCCTCAGGTCTACGCGACCGATGCCTCAGGATGGGGCGAAGCAGAAGTGGAAGCGGAGGTTCCGAGTGAGATCGCCCGGGAGGGGGTGCGCCACTCATTGAGGAAGTCGGTGTGGACTCGTCTCCTAGGGCCCACATCATCTTTAGCACGACTCCACGGCACTCTAGATCCCAGCGAAGAGCTTCCTGAAGGGCAACAGTACTCGATGCATCCTTTGTGGGAGGTGCTGACTCGCTGCCCTCGTTACAGGACAGCGTGGAAGGCAAAGAGCGAGGCTCGACGCCACATCAACGTGTCCGAGCTCAGAGCATTCTTACGGTCCGAAAGACGGCAGGCTCGGCACCATCCAAGCAGCCGGGCACTTCGAGGGTCTGATTCTCAGGTCACTCTAGGGTGCGTGCAGAAAGGGAGATCGTCGAGTTTGGCATTGAACAGTCTACTGCAGCAGTCCGTGCCGTGCATCATTGGGGCCGACGTCACCAGTGAAAGTTTCTATGTTGACACCAGGCTCAACAGGGCTGACGATCCCACCCGAGGCTTGGAGGTGCGTGGCCCAGATCTCGAGATGCCCGAGTGGTGGTCCGACTTATCCTCAGGCAACTACACCACTTTCGACAAGTGGCTTGAAGAGGCCGGGGAAACACTTTCCACGCAACTCGACATCCCAAGTCCTTGCGAACTCCTCGGCGATGTGTGGTCCCGCCAGCAGGCCCTGCCACGGACAGAAGGGCCGCGAGACCTGACGGAGTCAGGGTCTAGAAGTGAGGGCCGCCGACCGGGATTTCATTAGACAACCTCGACATCAGTGCTGATCAATCGAGTTGTGGAGGTGGGGCCCTTACAGAGTCTAGCATTTTCGGAGCCGAGCTCATCGGCATTCTTCGGAGCTTCAGCAGCAGCCTCTTTGTGTGGCCCCAAAACCGAGACCACTGCAGCACTTGGGTCTTCAACAAACCTGGGTACTTAGACCTCTTTGCTGGTAGACGCGGGGTCGCCAAAGTTGTTTCCGCGGCTGCTGCAACTTGGTCGCTCTGCATAGACATTCGTGACGGTCCGGACTGCGACCTTCTCGAAGTGGAGCTTCGGGAAAAAATCGAGCGCTTAATCCAAGGTGGCGTCTTCTTTGCCATCGGGGCTGCCATTGGAGCTTCCTCTTTTTCTGTTGCCGTGCAGCCTGCGGTTCGGACATCAGAGTTCCCTGCAGGGTTACCGAATCTCCATGAAGGCATGGCCGAGAAAGTTGCGAATGGAAATCTGCTTTCAGCTTGGCTCGCCAGACTGGTTCAATTATGTCTTTTACGTGACGTGATTTTCTGGATTGAAAATCCCGCTCGCTCTTGGCTGTGGCGACAGAGCGAGTGGAAAAGCATTCGAGAGCATCGTGATGTAGGCTACTTCTCCAGTGACATGTGCGCGTTCGGGGCCCCTTGGAAGAAACCGACTAAGGTGCTCACGAACTCGAGTCTTCGGGAGCTCAAAATCAACTGCCCGGGATGCTTACGACACCTATCTCTGAGAGGTTACAGTCGGAGATTCAAGCAGGCCTGGACGAGAGTCTCGGAACCTTTTCCGAAACAGTTTTCAGGTTTGCTTGGAGAAGTCATCGCTTGTTATTCGGTTGGTTCAGAACGGCTCCGAGAACGGCTCGATTTAGCGGCCTGCGCGAAGATCACCAATGAGATCATCGGCGAGGCCAGCCACCCAGGACCGCGGCCCCCCAGAGGTCAAGTCCGGGCAGCGCGAAATCAGAATCTCGATGATGTCAAGCTCGTTTCAGCTCAGACCGAAAAGCTGCAGGAGCGGATCTGGTCCAGATTCCAAGCGTGGGTGATCGACGGGACCTCCCCGTCAGCTAGTGACGAGCTGCTGAGCGAAGCTGTGCTGCTTTCGGCCTTGGTTTGTGGATTTGGAAAGTACCTCTTCAGCACTGGAGAATCTCTCTATCTCTTCAGACATTTGATCCTAGCGGCCGTCAAGCGGCTCCCGGCTTTGCGCCAACACACCTACGAGTGCTGGAACCTCGTCTCCAAGTGGGAGGTTGTCGAGCCGCTACAACATAGAGCGCCCCTTCCGGAAGTGATCTTGCGGGCCATGGTTTGCCTGGCCCTTCTCTGGAAATGGGAGAGGGTCGCAGGCATCCTGTTGATCTCATTCTGGGGAATCTCACGGCCCGGAGAGGCTCTTCGTTCCCTCCGGTCAGACATGTTGCTCCCTTCGGACTTGTGCCTCGGCGACAAGGCGGTGTGCTACCTCAAGATCCGGTCTCCCAAAACCGGCCGGCGCACCAAGGCTCGGGTGCAGCATATTTCCGTTCGTAATGCAGCCGTCTTGCCCCTCCTGGAGCGTGTCTTCAAGAACCTCGCTCCGAACGAGGCGCTGTTTCCGGGCTCGCCCTCGGCCTTCAGGCGCCGGTGGGACTCCCTCCTCGACGCGCTTTTGGTGCCGAAGTCCTTCAAGCTCACTCCGGGAGGCCTTCGTGGTGGAGGCGCTGTGGCGGAATACCACCGTGGCACTGATCTGGCTACGCTCCAATGGCGCATGCGCATTCGGCATCAGGTCACGCTGGAAGCTTACCTACAGGAAGTTGCGGCTGAAAACCTCCTACTTAAACTGCCGCCACATTGCACCGACCGCGTCAAAGCCGCCGCCAGCCTCTACGACCTCTACTTACTGCAGTGACCTGCGGGCCACCTCAAGGCTTTGGCTTTGTCCACACTGTCATGAGCCGACCACGCTCGTGGCCTTTTGAGGCCCTTGAGGTGTTCTTCTAAGGGTGGAAGGCGTGAGTTTGCCTGCTGCAGCAACTGCCTTTTTAGAAGCTGTTCTCTGCTCTCCGTACAGCCGCGAGGACTTACGAAGCTTCTTGTTCAGGTTGCAGCGACGCTTCACACAAGACTGCACAGCTGTCGGCGCTGAAAATCAGCATCCAAGCGGCCATGAGGGTTTAACATGTGAAGCATGTTCAACCTGAAAACCGGCCGCTCAGCTTTTGCTCTTCCCGCCCACCCGCCCTGAAGGCGTGAGTTTGCCTGCTGCAGCAACTGCCTTTTTAGAAGCTGTTCTCTGCTCTCCGTACAGCCGCGAGGACTTACGAAGCTTCTTGTTCAGGTTGCAGCGACGCTTCACACAAGACTGCACAGCTGTCGGCGCTGAAAATCAGCATCCAAGCGGCCATGAGGGTTTAACATATATATGTATATGCATATGTATATATATATATATATATATTTTTATTAATATTTATATATATATATATATATATAAGGCTTAGATTTAAGAAGACAGCTCCTGGACTGGAGCGTGATTCGTGATTGGCCCTCCGGACCCAAAGACCCACATCCTAATTCCCATTCCGAGCCCTGCCATTCTTTTCCGCTTCTCTAATACCGCTTTGTTTTGCTGACACGGAAAGACGAGGAAAAGAAAAGGCAAAAAAAGTTGAAGAAGAAGGAGAAGAAAGCTGCGGCAAAAAAGTGCGACAAGCAACAGACGAAGGCCTACTGTATCATGTCCGATTGGAATTCGCCGCTTGTGCTATAAGGTTCATTGTTGTGAATGCGCTTGTCACTCTTGCACATTGTCCAGTCAGTACATATATGGTCGCATATAGTGTATGCTTAACTACTCCTCGCATTTCTCAAGATGATGGTGGCACAGCTGCTGACTTTATGCGGCATCTTTGTCAACCTTAGAGTCTTTGACAGTTTGTGGAGATTGCAGGGGCGGTTGATCCTTCAAAAGGCGGAAGAAGCACCAACTATCGCACTGTGAGCGCGATCTGAAACCATTCCAGTGCGACCATCTTTGCTATCCAAAGCTGGGCGCGTCCTTTTGCTGGCCCGTGGTAGAGTGGATCCCGGAAGCTTGTAGGCTTTTTGCGTCGGCACCCCGTGGAACACTTCCCGCAAACCTCACTGAGACATGTTCCTATTGCGCGTGACTAAGTATTCATGAGGGGCATCTTGAGCTTCCTCATGCACTGGCGAAAGTGCCAACCTTTCCATTCGACAGCCACAGCTATTGCCAGGCGATGAAGCGTCGAAAGCTCGAAGGCTCGGCAGCTGGGTCCAAGAAAAGCATACAATGCTACGGCCATGCACCGGGCTTCTCTTTGCCGCCACACACGCTAGACTACTGCAGATACTTTCGCGTGGCGTTTCGTTGCACCGCAAACAAGAACTTCAGCCGCTCAAAGGGTGATTCGTGAGTTTTTGGAAGTTCGGCATAGCTGATGCGGTCACTCCTACACCCTAAACCCTAAACCGGACCCGATTGTCCGAGTGTGAGTGCCGAAACCCGGAAACCCTGGCTGGACCAAGTATGATTGCCGAAAGCCTTGAAACGTTTTACTCATGCACAGACTTCGCCCATGAGAGAACACGTCATCTCCTCGCCTTATCCCCGTGATCAGGGCCTGCTTTGCCGTTGCGGAGCTCGTCCTCGCCGGGGCCCTGCGTTCTCTCTCGAGACACAGCCAGTAAACCCACCCACATACCTACATGCTTGTATACAAGAGACGAGACACTGTTCACGAATATGCTCACTCACTGCTTTCTCAGTATCAAAACCTAGCGATATAATCTGCCCCGGAATTCGTTCGGTTTGACCGCCGAGTGACTCAGCAATGCTTGTCGCCGTCTTTGGGACGGTGGGCGCTCACGCCAAAAAGTCGAGGGCAATATGGCCTGCACATGCATCATCCGCCAGAGCGATTCCATGTTCCCTATGTTGGTGGTCGTGATTTTTCTGGGACCCTCAGGCTCACACATCTCACACCACTAACTCCGAGAACCTTTTTCAAAACAAAGTACTTTGCCGGAGTGCGGTTGTGCAAGCCTAAAAGCGTGTCACTGGCGCGAACAGCCATCTGTACTTCTGCCTCATGCCACCTCGTCCAACGGTGCTGAAGGGAGTGATAGGCCCCCCTGTAGGCTTGTGTTTCGCTTGGTTAGCTGCGGGTCTCATCTAATGAACTTGTGCATCAGTTTTTCCAGACCGCTTGCTTCCGCGATTGCACCGTTGAAGAAGAGCCCAGGTCCTCAACTTCGCCTTCGCCCGGATGCTTACACTGGGGCTATGTTGGGTATGGTTGTGGGGTCTCAGTGTTAAGTTTGGGATCAGGGTTCAAACTACCGGACCGGTAACACGAGTGAGATATTGATATCGGTGTAGTATCTGGTGCAACCGGACCGGGGCTTGACTCCCATGGATTTTTCCCCGAGACCCAAATCCTGCCTTGCAGGTTTTTGTTCACAGGTTGCATTTCTGTTTGGGATGTTTCTGCAATAACGCTGATGTTGGACAGCTGCAACGGCAGGATGCATTGATGGTTTCTGGGCCCGCCCCCTAAACTGAAGCCTCTTAGGACTTATTCAGAGCTCCCAGATTCACAGGCTTCCCGCAGAAATTGTGCGATAGCATGCAAGAGCATTACTGCCTGCAACTACCTCACGGTTTGCAAGGGATTTCGCTTGCACAGGGTGTTGTTTCGTATAGGGTTTGCTTGTGACGTTCCTCACAGTCTGTCGTCGCACGGTGCAGAACTGTTGTCGTTTGTGGGCCCTCCCTTTAACAGAAGCTTGAAAACCAAAGTGCGTCAACTCGCGTCTCCCAAGATTAAAACCTAACCTAACACCCGCAAACACGGTGACTTCTTCGATAACCCTTGACCTGAACCCTAAGCCCTAGTCCCAATCCGTGAGCTCAGCCATGCAGGAGGCAAATATCCCAATCCGTGCCACAGCTGCCCGAGCGTGAGAGGTCACAAGTGACCCCTCGCCGAGGGAGGTTTACACTAATCACAACTGACCTAATACCGTTCGCATGCGGTCTCGGTAAGTCTTCGCAAACTGCCTGGACCCAAATCGATAGCCTGAGACGCTTCTCCGCATGACTGCAAGAGGTCGAGGTCCGAAGCCAACGTCGCTTTGGAATTTACCAAGGCTGCAGAGGCCCGTCACCAATGTCTGCTCTTTTGGTGGTGGTGGTGGTGGTGGTGGTGGTGGTGGTGGTGGTGGTGGTGGTGGTGGTGGTGGTGGTGGTGGTGGTGGTGGTGGTGGTCGTGGTGGTGGTGGTGGTGGTGGTGGCGGCGGCGGGCGTCTTGGTAGAGGCAGTGGCAATGGTGGCATCGGTAGTCACCTGGTAGTGGTGGCCGCAGCTGTCGTGGTGGTAGTAGTAGTTGTTGTTGCTGTTGTCGTAGTAGTAGTAGTAGTAGTAGTAGTAGTAGTAGTAGTAGTAGTAGTAGTAGTAGTAGTAATAGTAGTAGTAGTAGTAGTAGTAGTAGTAGTAGTAGTAGTAGTAGTAGTAGTAATAGTAGTAGTAGGAGGAGTAGTAGGAGTAGGATAAGGAGGAAGAGGAGTGGTAGCAAAAGTATTAGTAGCATGACAATCTCGAGCACGAAAATGAAAGTGATAGTGATAATGATGTTGATGAAGATGGGAATGATGGTAAGTGTCTGGTAAGTGTCGGCACTCGGGTTCTTGCGGCTACTATGCGGGTGATACAGGAGCCATGGGTTCCCACCTCCACGCTGTCCGGCTTACGTTGAGGGAAGTTCGCCTGACACATGCTTTTACTTCTGACCCGCTGCTGTGATCTAGACTTGATACATCGCCGAATATGCAGGTAGTTCTTGGTGCTCATGTTACCGAGGATCGACCCTTCTGCATTGAAAAGCATCTTGACAGGCTGGCAAGATCATGGACGCGCAGTTCCTGATCAGGCTGGCTTGGATGCTAGTCAATCTTCAGGTTCGCTGGTATTGGGATTAAGGAATGTGTTGCATTAGCAAAAGTAGTAGCCGTTGCCGTCGGAAGCCCGTCCAATGCTTTGCGAGCCCGGCTGATAAATTCCGGCCCGTGCTTGCTGTATGCATTATCATCTCAGGCGGACTGTTAGATTTACTTCTTAATTTACAGACAGTCTCAGGCTTTGCATGAAGTTGGCCTGGGACGTGGTTTCTGCTCCCGGATTGGATTGAAGGCTCAAGCCGACTGTTCGGTGCGAAGGACCATAGGCCATAGGCCACACACACAAAGATGTCCAAACCACAAGTGGAGGAAACCCCAAGCCTCGAGCTTAACCCCAGAAAGAGCTTAAACCGGAGAGGAAGTATGGCCTTGGCTGGAAGAAGAATGACGATCCTTGACTGGCACTGCAGCCTTATTCCTGTTCTTCTTCAGGTTCCATTCCATAGTGACTCGTGCAATGAAATTCAACTTCAGTGTCAGGCGCGCCTATGAACAAGAAAGTGGTTCGGGAGATGTTTTCGCACGGCACGTTCCCCATGATGCTATCATCTCACGCTCACATTGATTCGCATTGTGTCATCAAGCCGTTGCTCTCGTGTTGCTACGATAATATGCAGCTGCAGTCTTAGCTTTGACGTATTCGTTTCTGCATGACCTGCAATCACGGTGCGCTTGTCGACAGTCAAGTTCTTGACTCGACCGTTTGGATGAAAGGTTCTGAACCCTGCGCACCATTCAGCTGGATTGGTTCTGCTGGTGGGCATGCGGAAATCCTAAACGCCTTACCACTTAAGCTTCCCTAAGAGTTGTACTTCACGAGCCGAGGACAACGTTTTGCACCTTACAGTCCGTTCAGCGCCCAGCACAGGGCAGCCACCGACGGGGATGCAGTGTGTTCGGGCATTTGCACTTTCAGACCGGAACGGCGGA